AAAGTGAGAAAACTCATGGGTTGAGATAAAGACAGTTTAATAGGTAGAGTAAAAGCCATGCACACAAGCAAAGCAAAGCAAGGAATCCAGTCACCACTTCCCATGGGCAGGCAGGTGTTCAGTAATCCCCAGGAAAGCAGGGCTCCGTCATGCATTAATGGTTACTTGGGAAGACAGATGCCATCACTCCGAATGTCCCCTGTTACTCTGAATGTCCTCCATCACTCCTTCTTCTTCCCCCAGTTTATATACTGAGCAGGACGTCATATGGTATGGAATAGCCCTTTGGTCAGTTTGAGTCAGCTGTCCTGGCTGTGTTCCCTCCCAGCTTCTTGTGCACCTGGCAGAGCTGAGAGCTGAGAAGTCCTTGGCCAGTCTAAACACTACCCAGCAACAACTAAAACATCAGTGTGTTATGAACATTCTTCTAGTACTAAATCCAAAACACAGCACTATTCTAGCTACTAGGAAGAAAATTAACTCTGTCCCAGCTGAAACCAGGACAGCTGGTTGTCTGCTTGTCCTGCTGTCGGGACTAAAAGTTTCAGCCCCAGCTGTGGCGCAGGCTGTGGTAGGAACTTGAAAAAGGGTGGGATTAGGTCTAGGAGCAGTGGAGGGCATGCATGCGCATCGCTGTGCTGTGGTTTGTCCCTGAGCCTTCACGTGCACACTTGCTTCTGTGATCTCTGCTGGTGAGTGTTCGCAGCAGGAGCTGCTGAAAGCCTCTGCCATCCGATCACTCATTTTCTGCCCGTTCCTGCTTATTGACATAACTCGGTCCTGCAAGACAGTAGTACCTGTTAGCTGGTCACTGCGCAACTCCTCTCACCCTGTGCTCCATCCTGGAGAGCTGTGTCCCATAAAGTGGGGCAGGAGGCCCGTGTCCTAACTCGAGTTACGCTTGCTAAACATCTCTCCATTAATATAAAAAGTCCTCTTTGGTCCTGCACTGAGCAGTTGTTGAAGAGACACCTTGGGCGCTAAAAGGTGAAATGAAATCAGTCGGTGTTGTGAGGCAGAATTGACCTTTCCCACGGGAAGTTTGCTCTTCAAGTCTTTTCTCAGGCCCCTTTCTATATAGCTGTTAAAGAAGTTTACGTAGCCGTCCTTGTGTTGTGACAGTAAGTTTTTGGATGAAGTTTGAGGGCGGTTGTGAAATTATTTACAGTTCCTTTTTATTTCTCTGATGATAACCATAATAAAAGCGAAGACACCCTTAACTGTCCACTTCACCTGGAGCACCTTGCCTTGCATGCTTGGTGCAATGTTGGTTGGTCATCTGCATGTCCCCTGTCTACCCAAAATCCCAGAGTGAAATGGCCCTCAGGACTCTGTGAATGCTGGTCAGGGACAAGGTCCAAAGCCTGGGCACAGTGACCAAACTCCTCCCAGTGTCCTGGTGGGCTGAGCAGTGTCTAGAGCATGCCAACAGGGAGTACTTACACCAGAGATTTAGATGAAAACTAGTTTTGGTTTCAGTCTCAGTTTATTACAGCGGAAGTGCTGTCTCGACCCTTGAGAATGAGTTTTAGCCCAGCGCCCATGCTAGAGCTGTTTATTTGAACAACCTCATCTCTGTGGCAGGTGATCACAGCGTCACCTGGTCCAGGCACGGTGATCAACTACAGTAAAGCCGATGCTTGGGCTGTTGGAGCAATCGCCTATGAAATCCTTGGCCTGGCCAATCCTTTCTACGGCCATGGGGACTTGACTCTGGAAAGCAGAAGTTACCGTGAAGACCAGCTGCCAAGCCTGCCCCATCACGTGCCCCTTGAGGTGAAGCAAGTGGTAAAGATGCTACTTCAGAGGGATCCCAACAAGGTGAGAAGCTGTGGGCTTGAAGCCGTTGTCTGACTGGCCCTTGGGAGTATTGTTTGTAGGTCATTTCTCCCTCCGGGCTCTGGGTGCACAACTGTAATCCTGATATCATTGCAGTCTAGGTAAGGACCAAAGACAGACAAAAGGTCTTTGCTGAAGTGCAGTGCTGCCTCTCACATGCAGCACTGAACAGTTTCAGGGGTTTCAGTGGACATCTGTGTCGGCGACTGGACCTTGAATTGGGGGCTTACATGCAGTTGCCTGATCATAAATAGTCACAAAGGGCTTTTTAATTCACAGGGACTATGTGGTGCCCTAGAGGCGGCCTGGGGGGCTCTTGGCAGTGCAGGTGCCACATGCTAGCGATGTGACTGGGTCATGGCAGGATCAGCTAATCTTCCCTCTCCCTCCTTTTGCAGAGATTGTCCGCTAGAGTTGCTGCTAACATGCTTCACCTAAGCCTCTGGGGTGAAAGCATTCTAGCGTCCAAGACCCTGAAGCCCGACCAGATGATCGCCTGGCTTCTCTGCCAGTCTGCGGCCGCTTTGCTCATGGACGGACTGGTGGATAAAAGCCGGGTAGAAACCAAAATGAAGATGTGCTTTTTGGCAAACCTTGAGTATGAAGACCTCTGGGCAGCAATATTCCTGTTGCTGGGCTGGAGAAGCCGGTCTGGGTGAAGCGTGCCATCTGGGATGCAACTGTGCGATAGATAAAGGGCGCTTCCTAAAGGCACATAGTCTTTTCTGCCTGCCGGGAATCCTGTAGTGCTTTAGGGAACAAAACTGCAGGCCTGTGTTTAAGAGGTTGAGTTTATCTCTAGCAAGTGTTAGTACACACTGCTTTTCTCTCCCCGCTAGAGGAAATGCCTGTGCTTCGTCACTCTCTTGGCATGAGGGTTTGTGGACCTTGCAGGTGTCCTGAGGTGTGCGGTTGGTTTTGCTCACGTTTGGGAATTCATAATTGATTTCTGAGTTGTGTGTTGAATGAAGCCAAGTTCCCTTTCAGAAGGGGGGTGTGGGAGGAGGCATTGCTTAGCTGCTCTTTACACGGAAGCATCACGGATTTAAACAATACACCAAGCAAGCTGAGGTGACAAAGGGACGTGTGATGTTTCGTTTCTTAGGGAAACCGGCGGTGCTCTTAAGATGATGTTCCTCTGCAGCCGCAGACGTATCTTGCTATAGAGTGACAGCCTAAAAGCCTCCCAGTGAGGTGCTGACTGGTACAGTTGCTTCTTATGATAACGCACCATTACATATCCAGCTGGTTGTATGCAACATAGTGCAAGGACAGCGAACCCCAGACCCGCTTATATTTGTTTGACTGTTGTATTTGTGCAGGGACCGCTGCTACAGAGTCCGAGGCCAAGTCAAACTGAGTCCAGGTAGGGATAATACAGCAAATGAAATAGGGCTGAGCAGCTGTGCCCACTTACAGAGTTTAGTGTGATGCTCTTCTGCTTTACCTACCTGTTGTTTCTGTTCAACAATGAAGTAATAGCCTTTGGTCGGGGAGGATAGGAGACATCAGTGTTCGAACAACAACAGTCGTGTTTATGAAAACATCTTGTGATTTCATGTCTGTGATTGTGTTCAGAGGAACTCGGGGAGAAAGTTTCTGATGCTTGTTGCACAATAAAGTGAAGATTAAGCTCTGCCACTGAGTGGGCTTTTTAAATCTAGTTCATCTCTGCTCATGGGATCCAGGCTTTAGGTTGTGGAGGCCTAGGGGGAAACGTAGCCCTGGTTCAGTGGCATCTTAAAAGATCATTCGTCTCTTTGCGGTGGAACGTGTTATGTTATTCCACCAAGTGGAGTTCCCTGAAGAGGAATGGACCTTGCCTCGTGGATGTGCCCATTTCGTACTCCCCTGACCGGTAAATCACTGGCTGCTCCTGCAATTTCCAGGTCGATGACATCATGTGTCAGTTGGCTGATAGCCCTGAACAAATCCTCGCGCAGTAATGTGCTGTCGAGGTCCCGCAGGCTGAAATGGGCGTCTAGTTCAGCAGCAGTGCAAAGCTCCCGTCCAGGGCATGGCCCTGCTCCTGTTGCCCATGAACACAGCACGCTGCTGGGGCTGTAAAGAAGGTTCAGCAAAGAACACGGAGCCTGGGAAATCACGGAAAATGAGCTCTTTGGGCTAAAAGTTGTAGGAAAAGAACTTTTAAATCTTTGTCTGACCCTAACTGAAGCTGCTGCTGCTGCTTTTTCTTAGATACTGGGTTCTTGTGGTGCATTTTTAGCTGGGATGGCTGCCTTGAATTTGTGTGTGCGCTCTCCTGCCAGCTCTGTGCCCCTGTATCTAGCAGCGAGGCCAGTTCCCCGGACACTGTCTCTGGAGCTTTCTGAACAGTAAATACCGTTGCTTTTTTGGTAGATCTCCGCTCTGACCTCTCTCTCTGTTGTCCTCCTGTTTCTCTCAGCCAGCAGGAGCTGGTTAGCTCAGCAAGGTGCAGCTCTGCTGGTTGGCATGCGGAGTCTTTCCTTGTCCCTGCAGTAGCGGGCATGGAATATACACATGCTCCATATCCCAACTACCTGTGTGGAGAGCAGGCTTTCTGCTGTGAGCGTACTTCCCCCCCCGCCCTTGATTTTCCTCCCAGCTCTAATCGCTACATGAGTAGGGAGCAGAATTGGGAGCCAGAGCTGTTTGATTTCAAGCATGTCGTTATTAGGCCAAACAGGGTTTGATCTGTGCTGGTTAACTCCAGACACTGGAGACTTCCTTCCCCTGGAAATTACCTCATTTCATCTCTTGTGTCAAAAATGGCCTAAAACGCTTGTCCCGCAGCACCGCCTCTGGTTCTTAAATCCCTATTGTTGCTTCTCCTTTGCTTGCATTTTGTCTGTTGACGGTTCTGCTGAGGTTAGACCTTTTTTTGTTTTTTTTTTCCCTGCCTGCCTTTCATTAATGAGACATTTTTATGATTCTTCAGCATTCTGGGTGCTTTGGTAAAGTGCAGTTTAAAAGTATATGCTGTTAATGCAACAAATGCTGCCTTGCCCTCTGCAAATGCCCGAGGGGAACAAAACTGGAACGTTGCCCAGCATGTCCCTCTGGCCCTGTTGTGCTAATCCTCATGCTTGAGCTGAAGCCCACTTGCTGCCACGTTTGTTCACGGTGTTTGTTGGGAAGCAGACGGGGAATGTGAGGCCCAGCCAAATCTCTGTCCTTCCCCGAGCAGCAGGGTGTCCGGCTGCACTTTGAACCCTGGGGAGAGTGGGATGGCGGAGGCGGCTGGCTCTCTGCCCAGCTGGGGCACTGCAGCTGAGGACAGGACGGCCTCTGCAGCTCCCCTCACTCCGCTCTGTGTGGGGCAGAGGGTCAGAGCCTGTGGGGCAGGATGAGGCACCTGCTCTGGGCTGCCTGCAGCCAGCTGCTGCCCCAGGAAGCTGGGCTCCATGCTCACAAGCTGTCTGCGGCTGCTGTGGTGGCCACCCTCCAGTTTGTGGCCCGGCCCGTGGGGGTCTGCTCCATGATGAAACTGCCCGTTCAGGCGTCGGCGGAGGGACTGGACGCAGCTTTTGTCGGCGTCCCTCTAGACACGGGCACGTCCAACCGGCCAGGAGCCAGGTAAGGGCTGGTCATGGTGCACGGGAAGCCGGTGCTTTGCTCTGGCCAGCCAGCATGGCGCTCATCCCGCGGGAGGAGTGCTGGAGCATTGGGAACTGCCCGCCAGCTTTCCCTGGCCATGCTCTCTCCCCAGGTTCGGTCCGCGCCAGATCCGGGCCGAGTCGGCAATGGTGAGGAGGTACAATGCCAGCACCGGGGCAGCGCCTTTCGACTCCCTGCAGGTAGCTGACATCGGGGATGTGAATGTGAACCTCTACAACCTGCCTGACAGCTGCCGCCTCATCCGAGAGTCCTACCAGAAGATAGTGGCCTCCGGCTGCGTGCCCCTCACCTTGGGTAAGGACCCTGCGTCCCCCTGCCCTGCCACCGCATCCCCGCTGACCCAAACTCCCTCTCCTCCTCCCTTCATTCAGTCTGAATGAGTGATGAATCTGTCCCCTGCACGGGGCGCTGTGCTAATATGGGTAGATTTACAGGCTCTCTGCTGAAATCACTGCCATCAATGATGCCGCTTGCGTTGTGTCAAAAATGAGGAGGATGGGTCGGCCGAGAGGCTGTTTCAGGGCTCCCTACCAAGCACAGCCTGCAGCTCAACTGTAACTACAATCAGCGCTTTGCTTTTTGTGTCCTGTTGAGCAGGACCCAAAGCAAGAGCAGTTTGTCTCCCTCTGGAAAGCTTCAAGCTTAAGCGAGTGCCCAGCAGCGTGCTGCTTTGCATGGGGCACGATTTGGGTGCGTGTTCAAGTTTCCAGCCATCACAGCTTGGTGTCACTAAACAAAGCAAGTGTATAGAGTAATGAGGGTCAAATTATCAGTTACAGTGTCCTCAGAAGTGACTTGAGCACTTATTTATAAGCCTCGTCAAGGGTCCCACTCCCTGGGCTGCCCCTGCCAGGAGAGTCATGCGTCTCTGGTCCTCCCATTTATTTTCTGAGGAGGGGAGGGGAGAGAGGAAGCAATCTGCACCTGGGAGCCTCAGGTTTTCCTTTGGGAATGAATCCCTGGGGTGGATAAATGCAAGGGGGGAGGAGGGGGGAAATCATCTGGGAACAAATGTAATGAGCGTTGAGGACCTCTTGCTGTGTGTTACACCCTCTTCCTTGTCCTGTTGCAGGTGGAGATCACACCATAACATACCCCATCCTGCAGGCCCTGGCAGAAAAGTAAGTTTCTAACCTGAAGATGTAGAACAAGGACCTGGGGAGGAGCCTCGGGAAGGGCTCCTGGGTTGCTGTCAGTGGCACAGGCAGGGCCGTCGTGTGTGGGATGGGGACTGATGCAGCCACCCTGTCTCAACTAGGCACGGTCCCGTGGGACTGGTGCATGTGGATGCTCACACCGACACCGGGGACAGAGCCCTGGGGGAGAAGATCTACCATGGGACCCCGTTCCGGCGCTGCGTGGAGGAAGGGCTGCTGGACTGCAGCCGCGTGGTTCAAGTCGGCATCCGAGGCTCCTCCTATGACCCTGATCCTTACAAGTACTGCCAGGACCAGGTAAGCTCAGCTGCAGGCATGTGCCGAGTGCTGTGTTCTTTCCCTGCCATTAGTATTCCCATGTCATTAATACTCCCTCACCTTTAACATGAAAAGAAATGTCTGTTCTGCATCTTGTCCCATGCCAGTGGCTCGGCCCGCAGAACGAGCACTCCTGGCGCACTGAGCCATTAGCCAAATGGGGAATAAAGAAGTGGGGGTGAGCGGAGGGTGCTTCAAGGTGCACCTCTGCTGCTTGGCCCTGGGATGAGGATTTATCCCAGCAGAAATCCCCTGGATTGCTCTGCTTTGCCCGCCTTTCCCTGAGCAGGCGCCTGTCTGTCCATGCACCTGCAGGGTTTCCGGGTGGTCCCGGCTGAAGAGTGCTGGGGGAAGTCCCTGGTGCCGCTGATGGGAGAGGTGAGGAAGCAGATGGGGGACAAGCCGGTGTACATCAGCTTCGATATCGATGGACTAGACCCCGCGTACGCCCCGGGCACTGGGACGCCGGAGATAGCCGGGCTCACACCTGCGCAGGTAAGGGGGACACGGCTTCATTTCCTGGTGGGAAGGGGACGTTTTTGCTCCTGTTAAAGAGGTGGTGCTGCCAGCACAGCAAAGCAGAGCGTTAGGGAGACCGTGGAGCACTTCATAGTGGCAATGAGGAAAGGAAATGTTGATTGGATGTGATTTGGTCTGTATCGGCTGGGCTTCCTTCACTGCGCGAGGGGAGAGCAGAGCCCTGACCAGTCCGCTAGGTCAGATGTGCTTCTTGATCCCCAGTCTGTTTTCTTCCTAGGCTTTGGAGATTATTCGTGGCTGCAAAGGACTGAACATAGTGGGATGTGACCTTGTGGAAGTTGCACCGATGTACGATGTCTCTGGTGAGTCTAAAGACGGTTGAGAATAAGACGTATGCCTGGCAGAGGCAGCTGATTGCCATGGTGAAGGCGGTTGGGCATTCATGGCTTTTCTTCCCCCTTTTTATCTCTTCTTAGGAAACACAGCCCTCCTGGGAGCAAATCTGCTGTTCGAGATGCTGTGCGTTCTCCCCAAAGTAAAGACGATGTGAGGGCAGCTCCCGCCTGCCCCGGGGGCAACACAGCTCCCACCTCAGCAGAGGCTTTTCGCGCCCTGTTCCCCCGAATGCAGGGCTTTGCAGTAAGGAATAAATGCCATTTACCGCTAGAAAAGGTAATTTCAAGCTGATAAACTGGAGGTGCAAATGGGTTTGAACAGCCCATTTCCTGGTGTCTGTAGCTTTTGAGTTTGCAGGGGAAAGGAGAAGAGGCAGAGAATGGTGCTTCGCCTCTGCTTTCACAGACGGAATTACTCACCCAGCTCACAGGGGCTCATGGCACAACTGTCGCTGGTAAAAGGTTTCTCCCATTAAGGCACAGCAGCAGAACAGTGATTGTAGAGGAAGGGAGGGCAGTGGAAGGCGGCCTGGGGCTCGTTCTGAGAGTAGGGGGATATTTGACCAAATTTCCTGCTGGGGATAACCAGGCACGGCCTCTGGCAGGAGCGGTTTAATTGCTCCTGGAATTCCTGAGCTGAAGCAGAAGCACGGTCAGTTTGTACATGGAAACACAGAGCCACCTCATCGCACATTAAAATAGTTTATTTTGGTTGCGAATCTGTAATTGTCTTAAAACAAAATGACATCAGTGCCTGTTCACAAATACAAAAAAAAAAAACAAACCCCAAAAAAAAACCAAGACAAGTTTTGCCAATAAGTTAATTCCCCCCTGGCTCCCGGTATCAAAAGTGCAAAATATGGACCTAGTTTTCAATCCTACTTCTCAGGCTGTGTTCGTGGACTCGTTCCTGGCAGGCTTTTGGTGAATGGCAGAGTGAAGACAGCAGCCGCAGATGGCTGCTGCCCACCGCCCTCGGTACAGGGAGGAGTTTTGGTACAACCTTTCGACTGGGGGGCTTCTGCTTCTGCGCAGTGTGCGATTGCTCGGATTTCACTCAAGTGGCGCGCTGGGACTGGAGTTCCTCAATCCTTGGATTACCGACCACCGCGTGCGTAAGTGAGTCGCAAGCGCGCTGTGCTGATGATATGTTACGATATGCGTTACGATATGGGTCGAGCGCCGCTGGAGGCGGTGGGTTAGAAAATTCTTGGGGCGTGACGGTTCACGACTGCTGGGAGGGAGCGGCCAGACCTCGGGTGTAAGCAGCCTCCGACCACACGAAAGCAAGCGCCCAGTGCTCAACGAGGGACACTAAAGCTGACTAAACGAGGGCTTTAGAACAGTTTGGTGTTTGCTTCGGCCCACGAAAGAAGTTTCTCCATAAACCAGCAATGCAAGCCAAGTTAGCCCGACCCGGTTAAAAGCAGCGAAAGGCAGTTACAGCTAAGTGGGAGCTGTGCTTCCATCTGGCTGCGGCCGGCAAGGGTAGACGGCTGCAAGCACTCCTTTAACAAAGCTCAGGCTAAAAGGGGAGGTTACCTGTGCTGAAAAGAAAATTAAAAAAAGGATTCCAGCAGGTTTGCAGCACACGAGCCGTACTTGGAAGGCTGTAAGGCCTTATCTTCTGACTCGGGGCAGGGCTGAATTCCCTCGCTGTATCACTATTAGGCACTTTTCTTAATACAAGAAGGGGTTTTGCCTGGTTTCTGACTAGCTGAAGAGACAGCAGAGACCCAGAGAGTATTCTTTTTTTATTTTTGCAAACACTCAAGAAGTTACATGGAGCCTTTCACTGAGCTACAACCTCATTCTAGCCACATCCCACACGGCAAGCTGTGGGGAAAAACACAAGTGTGCTTGGCAACCACTCCAGCCAAATTAAAATGAAGTCTGGCGGCGGCAGGCCAGCGTTTTGTTCCCCCTCCTGCCCTGTTTTAGCGGTTACATGCGCACCTTGGAGCTCTTGGGCAGGGAGAAGACCTCGCCGCCTTCCTTCCCTCTACTCTAATGCCTCGGTCATCCAGCAGCACAAGCTTGGAGTCCGCTGAGCTAAAAATTAAGTAACCTCACGTAGGGTCAGTTGGTAGCATCGTAGCCTTTATTTGGAAGTACATGATACACGGTGGTTGAGATACCTGTGGTGGCCGAAGCACGCCAATCTGCTCCCAGGGCAGGGAGGAATGCAGCAAGCCAAGGGTTTGTGAGGAACTAGGTCTCATAGGCAGTAGAATGACTTGAGCATTCCCAGATTTTGTGTGGGATTGGCAGCTAGCTCAGAGATTGGTATAGGTATTCCTACTAACTGGCTGTTCTGCTAAGATGGTAACTAAGGTGGCAAGGGCCAAGAGAGCTTTTAATTAACACCAAGTGCTTGACCAAGCGCTCTGCCGCCAGGTTTGGAGCCCTACGGCAAAGGCCGCCCCACTCAGCCCCCCCGTGCTTTGGCGGTGCCATGGCCTAACAGCGACTCGGTGCTGCAGGGTGCTTGGGAATGGCGCAGAGCGGCAGGAGGAGGCGCAGCAAGTACCAGCCCGGGTGACGGTCTCTGCCCCGGCGCAGTGAAAAGGAGGCGTGAGCCCCAGAAGATTTCGGTCCTGGCCGCAAAGAGAAACCCTGCTGCTTTGCTCTATCGCTTGAGGAGTGGGAAGCGGCCGCGAGTCTGCTGCTCGCCTTCCCTCCGCCTTGCAAAGGGTCGCCCGTTCCCCCCACGGCATCGAAAGTGGCTGTCAAAGCGCTGCTAGAGCAAAGCATAAACCGAACCCTGCGCTTTATGACTGTTATAGCTTCACACAGACCCGTGAGGTCAAAGAGACAACCAAAACCCCAACGCAACCGAAGAAAAACCCAAGGCAGCAGTCTGCATGTCAAGAAACAAAGGTTTGTGGCAAGAAGGAAACAGGTGAGAGGGTAAAACTGAGTATCTTAAGCCCAGGCCTAAACCAAAAGGAGTTTCACACATAAGCGATGGTCTGATGATAACAGCACTTCTGGGGCAACATTTCAAGAATACAATCATCAAAGAATTGGGTTCCTTGGTACAAAGAAAGGTTGGTTTGTACTACAGATGTGAGGGTGTTTGAAAGGAGCCCGGACCGACTCCCTAGCAGCTAGGTAGAGTCTCTTTTACACGTCTACTGGCTCATAGCAGGTCACGCCTACAATCTGAGGACACAGTTAAAGTTATGGCTCTAGGATACATCGTCTAAAATCAACAGAAGCAGAAGGGCGTCTGAAAAATCAATGTGACATTTAAACGGCTCAACACCTTTATAGTGTTTACGGCCGCGCAAAACCCCTTCCCTCCCTGGTTACGGTTTAGCCGGTGAAGCTGCGCGTGGAACTATGACACAAGGAGCACGAAACATGCAGGTCGCCTACGGCCCGCACCACAGACGAGTCCCAGCTCCAGGTTTGCTACGAGAGAGTTGCTCCCGACCATCCTCCAGATCACTTACCACAGGGAAAGCCGCTAGGTACGACTGCCTGGTGGGAGGAGGCCTTTCGGAAGGGCAGGGCCCGGGTGGGTCTGCAGGCTCTTGCCAGTGTTACACCATGCACCATGGGCTAAGCACGTGGGGAAGGGGAGAGAACGCCACGACCCGACCTGCGTCACCGGCCACGTTCAGTCCAGACCGAGTCACCACAGCAGAGAAGTCAGGGGTTTTTCCTTCAACTGAGGTAAAACAAGAGATGGAACGGGGGTGACTCGGGAAGCAGATGCGGCAGGACAAGAAGGGCAAAACGGACTTCTTGGCTCTTCGGTAGTACAGCATCCGAACACACGAAGGAGGCGGTGGAGGGAATTTCGGTGCGCCTGGCTGTGCTCCCGGGCTCCAGAGGTGGGGAGATATTTTTGTATTCGCCGGCCCTAGGAGAGTTCATCTAAAACCTAAGGTCCATTCATCACGCTTGTTTGTGTATTCCTGGAAAGAGCTGTCTCTTGTCATCTTCATAAAAAGTTTGTCTCTTTAAAATCCCTCAGTCTAGTGCGGGCCACGAGGGGATATAGAACCTCTGTAAGGAACCCTCCAGGAGGCGTTCCATCCAAAAGGACAATTTGTGTAATTTGTTTTTAAGGGATCTAGAACCCGGGCTGCAGGAGGATTTCCCTCTGGCTTCTGTGTGTAGCGAGGAATCGTAATCCTCGCACAATCCCAGGGTTCCCCCCTCGTCCCCCGATCTGTGAGGCTTAAAGAGGCAGAAGTATTTCTTGTGGCCGTTCAGAGCCAGGACGTAGCCCGTATAGTCACGCTCCAGGAAATGCTTGTCGTACTGGTTTGGGATGGGGGCTGCATCCTGCGCAAACTCTAACAGGTACTCCAGCCATTCCCGGTGCTTGTCCAGGCTGAGGAAGGAGAAATGAAGAGAGCTGCTCCTGGGGGAAGAGCAGAGGAAAAGCAGGATTAGCACGTCTCCCGAGCCGGGCCAGATTCCTACTGGACAGGTAAGCGTTTGTAAACAAGGTCTGGCGCAGAGCTGTGTCACCACAGCTCCTTTTTTTCACCCAGTTCAGCACAGGTGAGTTACCCAGCGTGCAGCAATGTTGTGTTCTCCGTTTGCCGAAATATGGGTACAGCCAAGGCGGCAGCAGCAGCACCAGGCCTGCCTGGCCACCTTCACCAAGTAGGGCCAGGCAAGGCCGCTTGGTTTTTGGTGGCTTGTTGCCACTAATGAGGACAGAGGCTGCTTTGGTCACCAGAAGTGTTCCCTCCTGGCAGTCGAGCCAACACTGCTCCTACCTTGTCATCAGAGCAACGTTAGGCAAGTTGTTACAACAGTAAGAGAAACCCCCAGCCTACCCTGTGAATGTGTAGACTTCCAGGGCAAACTTCTGGAGGAGGACGGTTTTGGTTGCGTTGGACAGGATCAAGACAACGTTCATGTGACCTGGCCTCAGGCGTACCAAGTTGCTGTTATAGTTGATGTCCGTTAGCTCAGTCACCTCGACGAAGCCCTTTTTGGGAATCCTGCTGCAATGAAACAGTGATGGAGTGAACAAGGGACTGGGAGCAACTGAGGATGGAGAAACCGTGAACTTGTTCCATGCCTCCTCACACTGTGCCCTGTAGCTAAAGCCAGTTTAATCGGTGCAGCGGCCAGACTTGGATCTTTCTCAACAAGTCAGTCGGACCTTTAGGCAAAACTCAGTGGGCATGGCTTAATAATTAAGTTAGTGTGCCCCCGGCCTTGCTGGCCCGGGTCCTGGCTGACCACCGCTCCTACTCGCCTCGCTGTGCCTGCGCCACCTCCGCGTAACTCTGGCCCTTCTCTGCTGTCCACCTAACGCTCTCTGCGCAACACTCCCCCAGCAGTGCTTCAGCAGAAAACATTTCTGGAGAAATCAGAGAAGGAACCTGTTACTCTCTTTGCTGAAGCTCGCATCGTTCTTCTCAGTCTTGGCGGCGGTTTCTTCTTTCTCAGAGGGAGGAGAGTCCCTTGTATCACTCGAATCGCTGCAAAGGAAGAGTATCTCGTGTGCGTTTAAGGCACCAGATTGGACTGAGGTGCAATTGGCTGGACCCTAAGATCCCCTGGGACGTTTTGGCATGCACTCACCTGAAAGCCTGAACAATAACAGTGCCAAAGAGAATGAAGAGCGCAGAGAAGAGCAGGGACAGCAGCGGCATCATTTCTCGCCTGAGGGGAAGATTTGCAAACAGAAATCAGGTCCACGAGTTGCGCGGTTTCCGCTCGAATTTTAGTTCCCATCTACCTCAAGTAAGACCATGCACTTTCCCCAGAAACTTGGCTTGTTTCCTGGGGTCTTAAAGACGATCAAGCTTTTGAGCACTGTCCTGCTCCCACCCAAAAGGACGAGAACAAAAACGGATCCATTTTAAAATAAGGTGACGGGGAAGTGGTGACAACCAACAAGGATGCGTGTTTTCAGGAGTGTAATGTCCCCGTTCGGCCTCAAGGCCAAAGTACCCAGTACTCGAGGCAAAGCTAACGTCACTGTGGTGTCGGCGCTCTTTGCCTAAATCTCCACAGACTACAGGCACCTCTGTGTTCTGCTACGTTCTCAATTCCTGGTAATAAGGACCTGGTTCTGCTACGCAGCTGAACAAGGTAACAGCAATCCTGCTCCCTATTGAGACTCGCTAACACCCAATCCATACCAGTTACTATGAAACAAACTGTCCCAGCAGTCCGAGATATAGTCCAGCATGGAGTAGAGCCATCGGATAAGGAACATCTGTTTAAAAAGAAAAAAAGCAAATGATAAACCCAGTATCCAGGATCCTGATCGGACTCCCACCCCTTAGACAGAATCCCGGGCCGAATTGGCTTCGGAGCACGTCGCAAGCTTCCTTCCATGAGCGAGAAAACCCTTAAGAGTCTTGCCTTGGGATTTTAAAATATAACTAATACCCGTGAATGACCGCTATGGGACCGTCCAAAAAGGTAACGCAGTTGTCAGGCAGCTGGAAAGGCCACGCACTTACGGGAGCGAGTTCGTCATTCAAGTCTGCCAGGACAGTCTCGGAAGAGAGGAGGCCAGGGTCTGTCCTCAGCTGCTCCAGGAGATCCAGGAGGATGAAGTTGTCCTCTCTGCTGCCTCGCCAGACCTCCTCCAAGGCTTTATAGACGATCTTCCCTGCGTTGTTGCGTCTCTCCAGAATGACCACCTGGACGAGCCAATAGCATCACAGATGTCAGGGAGGAAGGTGCTTTTTACTTGACAGATGCTATGTTTGACATCGCTCCCCAGAATTAGGTGTGAGAGCAAGGCATAGCATCCTACATGAAGTGACGTGAATTAGAGTGACAGATGAAAAGAAGAAGGGGAAAAGGAAAGAAAAAAAAAAAAGGAAACCCTCACAGCTGATTTTCCCCGATACTTCTCCTCATCCATCAGCAAGGCGTCCGCAAATTCTGGCTGCCGGTCATTATAGATATGCACAAACTTCAGCGTGTCTTTTGTGTTGGCCACAGCAAAAGTCAAAAATGCCTCGTAAGCCTCGGCAAACTTATCGCCTTCTCCGGTAAGTAAGACCACGCAGTGCCTAGGCAAGACAACGAGACAGGGGATTAAGAGCCATTCTGGATGTGAGAGGACACAACTGTCCCCTTTCTGCTAGCCAGAATGATCCTGAAGGGCCAGAAACCTATCAGACAATGCAGATACCCAGCGTGATCCAGTGCAGTCGTTTCCCTTCTCCCTCAGAATCAAACACAAGGTGGCTTTAGGAGCAGCCCCAGAGCCTCGGGGAACAAAGCCGGGGGACGTGTCACCTGTGGAGCCTTACTTTCGCTGACGGTGAGACTTCTTCACGGGACACAGCTCCTGGAACAGCCTCTGGTTGGTCAGTCGGGCCACCATGAGGAACTTATTCTGGGAAAGGAAGTCGTCAATGAGCTGCTTCTTCATGTCTCGTGCCTGGCGAGGAGAAAGCAGAGGTCAGAACCAAGCAGGATGAGGAGAGTAAAGCCATTGCGATGTTCTCGTCTGAAGCCTGGGGAAGGCTGTCAGCCACCACAGTCCTTGCTGAAATCACCCCAGATGTTTTGAGGCCCTGAGACCGAGAAGCTACCTGCAGCCGCCCTCCTTGAAAGGTCAGGCGCCATAGCTGAAGCCTACCGAGCTTCCTCCCTCCTACTGGTCGCGCCCTGCCTCTGCTGAAGCCCAAGTTTCTACTGAGAACAAATGCTCTTTACTCTGAAACGCGCCACTGACCAACCCCCCATCATGAGCTCAGTCAGAAAGCCTCAGCATCCATTTCACATGGGCTCTCGGCGAGGGCTCTGAACAATACCTGCACAACATCAGCGGGCCTGTCGATATGCTCCTTGAAGATCATCATGGTGGGAGTGTAAACGTTGATATTGTACTGCCTGGACAACTCTTCAGTGCCTCGGAGTCCGACATACACGTAACCAAAGGACAAGTAATCTCGGTAGGCAAAGGCAGTCAGCTGGACGGGAAGAAAGCGCCGGCATGTGTTTATGTCAGAGAGGAAACAACATTTTCTACCCCAAGTGCCTGCGGTGACCTTGTTTCAAGAACACCTTCCGCTGTTTAAATGTCATTGGGCATGCGCCACGAGGGGTAAAAAAAGCCCTTCCTCTCCCTCGCTGAACTGCAGTTTGCATTCTCTTAGTCATCATACAGGGAGCCTCAATGGATCTACTGCTTGCTTTTACAGCCTGATATTTTGCACGGTAGTGGGGGTTTCTTAGGTAACCCCTTAGGTAACTGCTTTCCAGTAACCCAAATTAGACGTGCCGCAAAATTCCCCTGTTACCAGTAAAGGTTAGTACATGCCTCTGTCGCTGCGACCTCCGAAACCCACCCGCACCTTCACGTTCGCTAAGGGTACATCAGTGGCAGGACAGAGAAACCATCTCCTAATGAAGCCGGTCATCTGGCCGCACTGTTTTCAACCAACACAAATCAACTTCATTCTCTCAGAATCAGTCCATAGTATTTAGAGGCATCGCTCCACCTCTGCTGACAGCGATACCACCTTTTCTTTTGGACTGGCTGGATTTATTAGCAAGTCAACAATGCAGCACTAGAAATCCTATTACCTTGTATAATAATGGCACAACTGGCATGTGATCAAATAGCAGGACGTGGGGCTTGTTTTCTTTCTTCCAGTTGGAGAGAAAGCTGATGTAGTTTTTATCTGTAATCTTTAAATAGAATCAGCACATTAGTTCAACCTCAGAGCTGTTAGACACATGCCATGCTGTATGGTCAGGTGCCTGAATGAGAACTGAGTCTGTAAAAGCTGTCCAGGTGTTATGGAGAGCAGACTGGGGGTTTGCCTTTCTAACCAGTCCATTGGGTATGCCTGATCTGTGCTTTTTTGCTGCAGAAAATCAATTGAAACCATTGGTCCCAACCCTCACCAGCCCTCTTAGTTATTGCACCCTCTGTCAATGCTGTTCCCAGTCAACGCTGATGCCGCTTTTGGGCTCACGACTTTCACTGGGGTGATATGCTTTATGTCTAGTGGGAAGCCAAGGGTTAATGGGCACCTGTGAGCTCCATCAAACCTGCTCTGTTTCAGCTGCCATACTGAGAAGAAGGAGATAAAAGGGAGATTGCAGCTGGTTTAGGGAGATGAGAGCTGGCTGCTGGCTCTGGTTCTGAGGAAGGCCTGGCTATGGGAGGTGAAACGGCTGCTTTAGCTGTGGAAAAGGACGGCAGACCCTGCTTTTGGGGCACAAGCTCAAACACCTGGAGGACGGCAGGTCAAGGGTCCGTTGGGAAGGGCGGCCCTCACTGAAGACCCCGAGGGAAAACGAGGCGAGGTGAACAAGGTTTGAGGCAGGTGAGAGCACTGGGGGGCTGACCTAGCCACATTGCGCTGAAAGGGAAGGCGGGTGCTGTAAGACTTCGCTAAAAATAACCAAGCGAGGCCAAAATGCAGGGATTTTTTTATCTAGTAGGAGGTTTTACCTATAACTGAAAGGGCTTGCGCTGCCGGCTCCAGTTTCAAAGGTCTGAAGTGAGCCTGGACGAAACAAATGGGGCTCCGTGAGGGTGAGTTTTAGCAGATAATGCCAACGAGTCAGTGAGCGGTCCTTAAGTTGCTGGTTGAAACCCCGAGAAAGGAGAAGGGAAGTGAAATCTGGCAGGCAGGGCACGAGTGCATATTTCTAACCTAGGGGTAGCTTTCGTACGGCTCTGTCAGCCGTGGGGTATTTACAAGGGGGAGAGCAGCAGGCACACAGAGCAGCTGGCATAACCACACCGTAGCGGGATTAGCCCTTTCGCAGGGAGAAGCGTTACGGAGCCGTGTTGCGCGATCGCGCTTCCGACAGCTGCCGGGTTTGTAGCTGTAATGACAGCTCTCGAACGGCCTCACTTTGCCAGCCTTGGTCAGATCTTCTCACGTTTGTGACACAGATCAGCTCAGGGGCTGAATTAAACAGATTAGCCACCGAAACAGATTAAGGAGAGATGAATATCCAGACAGACACGAGAAGCAGCGCGCGACACTCTTACGAGAGCGTACCTTCTCTACGAGATTTCCTGGCAGAAGGTTCTCCACGAATTGCCGCAGGTTTTCTCGAATGACAGCGTTGTGGAAGAAGGTTATTTTCCCATTAATGAGCCCTAGCAGGGATGGCGTGCTGTGTGCACCTAGGTGATGGGCGAGGCGCCTTTCGTACCCAGCGTGAACGACTCCGATTCCCACTCCTGAAAAAGGAGAGCGGGTTCACGTGAAAGATCATCGATGCCCCAAAATGCACAGTAGAAAGCTGAGGTTGAAGACCTGTTCCCTCGCCCAGCACCCTGCTTGGGAGTTATTCACGCAGTAGTCCCTCCTAACACTGTACTTCCCTCCTCTTCCAATCCCCTGAAAATTGTATTTAAAACTCATAGATTTATCTAGGGGGAGAGAGAGAACACGCTGTGCTTTTTTTGTTCTGTCTGCTGGTCTTTCATGTGCTACATTAAAACCTCAAGGAGAAAAAAATCTTAGTAAGCGGGAACTACACTGCCTTTGTCTCCTGCCATCTGTTGAGTTTGTGTTTTTTCCGGAAGCACGTGCAGACAACATCTGCAGGGAAAACAAGGAAACCGGGGCTGGAGGGGCAAGAACAAAATACCTCCTTGGCATCCAAATGTGTTTGGTAAGTCTCAAATCTTCACTGTATGGTAGCATCCCTAAAGTTGAGGGCATATTCTGCAGGGATCTTTGCTTATCACAGCCATCCAAGTGCAGGACAAAGAGCAACATGGCACTTAACGTGGGGCAGCCTGAACTCGTGCTGGTGCGACCGGCCCTCGGCTGCCCCGTTATTTTTTATCATCAGTGTTGGACTAAGCTGCTGTCCGTATGGTCAGAGGAAAAGGTATCTAGCCCTTGTGGTGTATGGGACTAGTTTTTTCCTTGTTTGTAACACATAGATTATGATCTAACATCAATTACAATGATGCACATACATAAGTCTATGCGACCTTGGGATGAGGTGCATCCCAGAGCCCTGAGGCAATTGGCCGATGTATCTGCCAAGCCATTCTCTGTAATATTTCAAAAATCATGGCAGTCGGGTAAAGTCCCTGGGGACTGGAAGAAGGGAAACATTGCACCCATCTTTAAAAAGGGTCGAAGGGAGGACCCTGGGAACTGCTGACCTGTCAGCCTCACCTCTGAACAGATTCTCCCAGAAGCTACGCTAAGGCACATGGAGGCCAGGGAGGTGATTTAAGGCAGCCAACATGGCTTCACCGAGGGCAAGTCCTGCCTGACCAATGTAGTGGCTTTCTATGATGGAGCGACTGCATCAGTGGACAAGGGAAAAGCAACGGATGTCTTCTATCTGGGCTTCTGTAAAGCCTTCAGCTTTACACAACATCCTTCTCTCTAAATTGGGGAGATTTGAGGGGGAGACTATTCAGTCGATGAGAAATTGGTTGGATGGTCACATCCAGAGGGTAGTGGTCAATGGCTCGATGTCCAGATGGAGACCGGTGACAAATGGTGTCCCTCAGGGGTCCGTACCAGGACCAGTGCTGTTTCATATTTTCATCAATGACATAGACAGCGAGATCGAGTATACCCTCAGCAAGTTTGCAGATGACACCAAGCTGAGTGGTGCAGTTGACACACCAGAAGGACAGGATGGCATCCAAAGAGACCTGGACAAGCTGGAGAGGTGAGGCCTGTGCGAACCTCAGGAGGTTCAACAAGGCTAAGTGCAAGGTCTTGCACCTGGATTGGGGCAACCCCTGGTATCCATACAGGCTGGGGGACCAAGAGCAGCCCTGCCGAGAGGGACTTGGGGGTACTGGTGGATGAGAAGCTGGACATGAGCTGGTAATGTGCACTCACAGCCCAGAAGGCCAGCCGTACCCTGGGCTGCATCCCTAGCAGCGTGGCTAGCATCGAGGGAGGGGATTCTGCCCCTCTGCTCTACTCCAGTGAGACCCCACTTGCGTCCTGCATCCAGCTCTGGAGCCCTCAGGACAAGGAGCACGTGGAACTGTTGGAGTGGGGGCAGAGGAGGCCACAAAAATGATCTGAGGGCTGGAGCCCCTCTCCTATAAGGCCAGGCAGAGAGAGTTGGGGATGTTCAGCCTGGAGAAGAGAAAGCTGCAGGAAGTCCCAATTTCAGCCCTTCTGTGCTTAAAGGGGGCCTATAGGAAAGATGAGGACAAACTTTTTAGCAGGGCCAGTTGTGACACGACAAGGGGTGACGGTTTTAAACTAAAACAGGGTAGATTCGGACTGGATACAAGGAAGAAATTTTTTGCAATGAGGGTGGTGAAACACTGGCAGGGGTTGCCCAGAGAGGGGGTGGAGGCCTCATCCCTGGAACCATTCAAGGCCAGGTTGGATGGGGCTCTGAGCAACCTGATCTGGTTAAAGGTGTCCCTGCTCACTGCAGGGGGGTTGGACTGGGTAACCTCTAGGGATCCCTTCTGACCCAAAGCATTCTATGATTTGGGAAAGCATTAGGATAAATCTCTGAGGAAATCTACAGGTTAAACTCAGTCCTCCGAGGCTGAAGGCAATTGCTGCAGCCTCACAGGCGAGGGACACGTGCCCAGCCTAAACGGCCTCATCCTTACCCAGCGCCTCCAATTCCTGAGCGACTTCCTTCCACACAGGCTCGATGTGGATGCAGCTGAAACACCAGTCCGAGGTTATTTTAATGAGGTAAGGTTTCTTGAAACTATCTGGCACGATTTCATTGACGTAGTGGGAAAAATGGAGCAAATACTTCTCGTCGGAGGTGTCGCGCCTCTCCGAATTAAAGGGGAAATGGAAGAAGGACTCGTCAAAATAGAAGCCTTCGTGGAAGTGGTGGAACTGGCGATGCTGGTGCTGAGAGTAGCCCTGGCTTTCCCCGGCGTCTCCATAGCGATCAAAGTTTGCCCTCTTTTCCTCGTTGGAGAGAATCTGGGAAGGGGATGATAGAAGAACGGTCGCCTGAAACCATGAGGGGGAACTGCCCTGACAATCATCCCATAGGAAATAACTGCAGCTGCATGAGGACGGGCTACGTGGGAACGTGCAGCCTTTGCCGCGCGACGGAGGGATAAATATTCTGGAAAAGGGAACTATGGCGTCGCCTCCAGGCTCGCTGCAGTAAATAAGGGTAAAAAAAGTGAAAGCCCAAGGAAAAGGAGCCTGTCAATCAAGACAGCGCTTGATTTGTACACATTTCTGATGCCAACGGCTCCTTGAGCCTGAAAGTCACGCCCTCCGAGCATGAACGCTCTTTTTTCTGGAGCGGCTTTTGCTGCTGCCTGCTTGGGCATCGAGGGCTTTCTTGGCACATCGGAACACGCCAAAAGTTTTACTGAGCAGCTGGAAGCCCACACAGAGAAACTGCGTTTTTCAGCTGGGAGACGAGGATTCGCTTTACTTCCATGGGCTCAGCTCACTTGCCGTGGAAGTATTGGGTCAGCTGCCGCAAACCAGGGCAGCCGATTCAGAGCACCGCGCCAGAGCAATGTGCAAATAACTACTTATGCAAAGAATAATTTGAAGCGACTCAAGCCCTGCAGTGATTAACATTGCTTACATCACCCCCAAAATACTTATATGTATGTGTGACACGGGCAAGACAGCCACCCAGCTGGGCAGGGCTCGGCAAATACCCCTTCCTCCCTCGTTTTTGAGGCTTTTTAGCGAGAACAAGGCAGACCTATAGCAAAACATTTGCGACGGAGGCCGCGTTGGTGTCACCGAGAAAGCAGAAGAAACTTTTCTTGTCAGTAGTGCCCGCCCCCACAGGGCGAGTGCCTTTCCTGTGCAGACATGCACAGAAAAAGCACAAAGCCACGTACGGAAAAATAAGGTCACTTAACTTTTAACGACAGCAGGAGGTTAGCAAGAAGAGCGTGTTACCTCGTAGGCCTTGCTAATCTGAATGAATTTGTCTTCTGCTCCTGGGTCCTTGTTTTTGTCAGGGTGCCTACAGGGCAGAACCGGACGAAAAGGGGGTCAGCAGTTCCCCGGGGGGTTGGGGGCACAGCGAGCTGTCGCCTCCCTTCAGAGGCGAGCGGCGGCATCCCCTGAGGCTGAGATCAGAATTTATACCCAGCATGCACTCTCCCTTCCCAAGCCCCATCCCAAAATGCCACACCAGGACGCATGCCTGCAGCCCCGTCTCTCCAGCCGATCCATCGCCAACGGCCTGGGACAAGGGAGTGTATCTCCCTCCCACCCGCTGCAGCGATGCATCCCTCAGCTGCTACCCTATGAATCCGACCGGGTTCTTCCTGGCAAACACCTCCCACCACAGCCCTCGGGGGTGTCTCAGCCAAACGATGCAGGCTCTGAAAGCTCCGGGTGAGGCTCTTCTCCGAGGCAACGCCTCGAGCCTGCTCCTCTGTGCACGCCACCGAAGCGAGGGGCACCACATTTGTGGGTCCAAAGAGCATTTCCCCTCGGCCTGGGGGTTGAGTTGCCTTTGGACATTGTTGTACCAAACCGAGACCTGGGTGCTGGCATATTAAGGGTTCCCGGGTGAGTCGGGGAGAACTTCCCCCCCACCCTCCACCCCCCCCAGCCAGACTCTGGGCGGGTTTACTGGTGTTACTGGGAGGTTAGTGGTGTGAAGGTGTCTGCTTGGTTTCAGGATGGCTCCTGGCCTGCGAGGAAGGCCCGGCGCCCATCTGTGACCTCCCGCTGAGCCTCCTCCGGCGCAGCCGGCCAGGTAAGGGGGTTAATGGCAGGACCCCGCAGGCGTGACCCC